GTAACTGTGATGGGTGTAACCCAATAAACCTAAGCTCCTTGCGGGAAGGGAGAATGGAAAAACCGATGGTATCCCACACCTCTAACTCATTTTCACTCAGCATGCTACTCTTCATGTCCATCCATTTATAAGCAATTTCCTAATGACTGTGTAGTATTCCATTGCATAAGATATATAGGCCTTTGATTCTGTTGAGACGGAAGCGGTCATTGAAGCCCTAGCCAATCAGGGCATTCAAGCCCAATACATCAGGATCCTCCGTGAGCTGTATTGCAGATTCACTACCAGGATCTCACCATTCTACAAAGAAGTGATCGTTGACGTCAAGAGAGGGGTGCGGCAGGGTGATACCATTTCACCAAAACTCTGCAGTGCCACCCTCGAGAACATCATTCGAAGACTGGAATGGGAAGGAATGGGAGTGAAGATAGATGGTCGGCAACTACACCACCTCCGCTTTGCTGATGACATTGTTTTAATAACACCAAACATCAGCCAAGCGGCACAAATGCTGGCCGACTTTGACCGTGAGCGTGGAAAGGTAGGACTACAGCTGAATCTTACGAAGACAATGTTTATGAGAAACAGCCTCGTTCCTGACGCCCCATTCGCTCTCAACAGAACGACCATCTCCGAATGCAACAGCTATGTGTACCTAGGTCGAGAGGTCAACATGACAAATGACCTGGCACCCGAGCTGCTGCGCAGGAGGAAGAGAGCGGCTTGGAACGCCTTCAAGAACGTCGAAGAAATAGCTAAGAGGACGAAGTACCTCCGGCTCTGGGCACATCTCTTTGATTCCACTGTTCTTCCTGCATTAACATATGCCTCAGAGACCTGGGCCCTACACAAACAGGATGAGAACGCTATTTGGGTCTCCCAAAGAGGAATTGAAAGAGCTATGCTTGGAATATCACGTTTCACTCAAATGAGAGAACGAATCCGGAGTTCTGACATCCGTCGACGATCAAGGATCAGGGACGCTGTCTCATTTGCCAAGGTGTCGAAAATCAGATGGGCTGGTCACATAATGAGATTTAAAGACGACCGCTGGACTAGAGCTGTTACCGACTGGATCCCACGGGATGTCAAAAGACTGTGTGGCCGCCCACCTACCAGATGGTCAGACTTCTTCATCAAGATCATGAATGATCGGTTTGAGGCTCTTCATGTTCCCAGAGCGAACAGATGCCATTGGGCTACACTAGCACGCGGCAGGGACAAATGGAGACGTTACTGGCGCCCGCTGGAGCAAATCGACGACTAACGGGAAGTTAAGTGATTAAGTGATTATCATTGTTTTTTTAAATCCAGTTTTCTGTCCCCTGACACCCTGATTATTTCCAGATTTTGGCTGTTGTTAATAGTACTTCAATGAACATAGGCGTGCAAATGGATTCTTTGCTGTGTGTTTATGTGTCCCTAGAGTATAGGCCAGGACTAGTATTGCTGGATCTTATGGAAGCCCATTTCCTAGTTTTTTGAGGAATCCCCATATTGTTTTCCAGACAGTTTGTACCAGTTGGCATTCCCACCCCTTGCTGATGTTTTTGCTGCTCCTTTCGGCAACATGGGAATAAAACCTGGAAGTTGGGGCATGAGGAATTGAAAAAAAAAAAAAGAAAGAAATACTGGTGAACTTTTCTGACATTTCCTGAGCATCAGGAGTTTTCTTTATCAGCCACCTGCCAGAACTAGAGAACTAGTGGATTTCTCTTGTCTGCACAACAGTGCTTACTTCAAGCTTTCAGGTTGCTTTAGTGATAAATTCACTTCTTTTGGGGAGGGAGGCCACAGCCAGTGGAGCTCAGGACTTACTCTGGGCTCTGTTCTCAGTGATCACTCATGTGGGGCTCGTGGTGTGCTGCCAGGGATTAAATCTGGGTTGGCCATATACAAGGGAAACATTCTAGCTATTGCGTATCCAGCCTGATAACTTCTTAATGTGATAACAGGTGTATTTGTTTAGTTTTGTTTTTGCTTTTTGGGTCACACCTGGTGATGCACACGGTTACTCCTGGCTCTGCACTCAGGAACTACTCCTGGTGGTGCTCGGGGGACCATATATAGAGAATGCTGGGAATTGAACCCTGGTCGGCCATGTGCAAGGCAAACGCCCTAGCCACTGTGCTATCGCTTCAGCTCCAACAGATAGATTTGTATAATAGAGTTCCCTCTCATTTTAGTCTCCCCTTCACTTTTTGCTGTTTTTAGTCATGACTGAATTTTTTTTAATCTTCCCTTTACTTTATTGCTGTTATCTTCAGAGTTTTTGCTATTCTATTGATGATATTCTGAGGAATCCTGTGAAATTCCCAAGCTTGTCTGGCCTACCAGCCCTTTTCAGAAAAAAATCACATAATGCCCGCCCCCCCCCAAGTCTATCTCCTTTAAACTAACAGAAAGGTTTGCCAGTTGCACCCAAGGCTACTACTACCCCACTGGATGGTCCCAACCCTGCCCCCACCCCCAGAGGGTGATATCTCCCACTTTGTTTCCTAGAGACTTAAAATATGGATAGTTAAATTACAAAAACCTAAAGGTAAATCAAAATTTGATTATGAAACCACTTATATGCGTCAGAAGACTTTAACCCTGAACATGGTCCCTGCTGACATGGCTGCTTAACTTCACCCTGATCATGCACCCTGCTGACTTAATGAGTGTTTTAAACAATATTTTATTAAATGTTTAAAACCCTTTATTATGATAAAATATATAAAACTCCCTATACTAATAATGTATTATTATTTGCTAAACCCATCTGTGCTCAGTGGCTACTTCAGCTCATTTTTGGTGGGGGGGGCAGCGTCTGGGGCCACGTGTTGACAGGGATTGTATCTCCTACAACCCACTGACCTATCTCTCTGCTTCACCAATCATTTACGTGTGTAATTCAGTGTCATTAAATACATTAAAATCTGGGTCCAGAGAGATAATACAGCAGAAAGGGTGCTTGCCTTGCTCACAGCTGATACGGGTTTAATCCCCAGCATCCTGTATGGTCCTCTGAGCATCCCATATGATCCATATGGTTCAATACACAGAATCTCATATGGTCCAGGAATAATTCTTGAATGAAGAACCAGGAGTGTCCCCTGAGATCGATGGGCATGATCCCTAAGCCAAGACAAATAAATGCAGTGAACAGTGAATGCATCCACTCTAGTGAATTTTTAGAACTTTTACTTCATTGCGAGCAGAAACTTTAACAATTAAAAATAATTCTCTTTCCACTCACACCCATACCATCATAGAGTGTTTTATATCCTTGGGGTAGATGCCCAAAAGTGGAATTGCTGGGTCATATGGCAGTACAGTTCTAAGTTAGCTGAGAACTCTCCACATTGTTTTCCACAGGGGTTATACCAATCAACATTCCCACCAGCAATAAATAGATGAGAGTTCCTTTTTACCGCATTCTGTCATCACAGATTATTCCTACTATTTTGGATATGTGCCATTCTCACTGGTATGAGATGTCATCTCAATGTCATCTTGATTTGGATTTCTCTAAATATAAGTGATGCTGAGCATTTTTCATGTGCCTACTGGCCATCGACCTGAGAAGTGTCTATTTATTTATAGTGTCTCCCCATTTGTTGATAAGGTTTTTGAATTTTTGTTGATCGTTGGGAGTACTTTATATATCCTGGATGTCAAACCCTTTTTTCTGATGTGCTGAATGCAAATATTCTCACCATTCAGTTTGCTGACTTTTAGTTTTAGCCCATGAGTTTTTGTGGGTTTTTTTTTTGCCATGCAGAAACTCTTTAACTTTATGTAGTCTCATTTATTTATTTTTGACTTTATTGCCTTTGCCACTGGTGTCAGATCATTGAAGGCACCTTTGAGATCCAAATCCTGGAGTGTCCTGCTTATATTTTCCTCAAAGTACTTTATAGTTTCTCAGATTGTGTTAAAAAATAAAGTTTGGACAAGAAAAAGAAAGATGACTCGGCTGATGTTTTGGTTGAAATTATGTGCAGCTGTATGGTTTTATGCACAAGTCCATTCAAATCTTTAAAACTTGGACAGGCAGGGAGTTTTCACTGTCTTTGTCATAGAAACATCTAGAGGACTGTAGTAAACTAGGGTTAACAGCAGTTCCTCTTTCACTGGGCTGAGTGGATTAAATAAGACTCAGTGACTGAAAAATAGTTTCAAAATAACTTTATCACATTTATTGTTACGAATGTGTCCTCATTAAGTAGGCAACTGACATGCCTTTGTTTATAAAGGGCTGCCTGATTCACTGAGGCCCTATGAAGCCAGACTATTGTGGGAAGCACTACAAGGCAAGCAGAGTCAGGGCCTAATAATAGTGGTTTGATGTCAGAAAAAAGGAGCGAAAAATACTAACTTGGTCTGAATGAGGCATCTGCTGTCCAGATGTGTGGACGATGTTGTGGAGGACTAGAAGCCTTGGAAGTGGTTCTATATACCATGAAGTTTAGGGAGTGTTCACCCTGAGGGAACCAGATTTTAATCAAAGGTCACTTTTGGGAAAGGGTGGTGCGCTGGGCTGTGTTTTTATTAACCGGTGTCTCCACTTTGAAATAGATGCACAAAACAAGTTCCCTTCAAGGGCGAGGGACCTCGCTGGCATGATGAGCCCGGAAAGTCACTGAGGCCCTATTTCCCTTCTGGGCTCTTGGCCCTCAAGCTCCAGGTTAGCGTGTATCCTTAGGGGGACTGCGAGAGCCTTCCAAGGCTCTACTGGCGGGTACTGCTTGCTAGTGCACGGTGTTGTGCTCCAGCTCGGCTCCGGTTTGCCGGCACAGGCCTGCCCACCTATCAAATCCCGGAAATCCCTTTTCCCGTCCCGCCCCAGGTGGCCGCAAGCAAAGATTTCACTCCAGAATCAACTACGAAGCCCTCCTACGGCTGTCTGTCACCTGAGTGCAGCCAATCAGCACCCAAAAGTTCGAGACACGCCTGAGAAAAGAGGCGGCCAATCACCGCGCAGACTCGCCACGGAGGGGCGGGCCCGCTGTGAGCCAGCCAATCTCGAGCCCCTGGGGGCGGCCGCTCCGGAGGGGGCAGTCCCGCGCTCGCTCCCCCAACATGGCGGTCGCGAAGGATGGTGGCGGTTTTGGCGGAGGAGCGGCAGGGAACGGGCGGCGGCTCCACCTAGGGATTCCGGAGGCCGTGTTCGTGGTAAGTTGCTCGCAGGCATCCGGCTTACTGGGCCGAAGCCGCGGACCGCCCCTTCCCGGGCCTCAGTTGTTCGGGAAAGCCGGTGGGGCCGCGACATGGGCCGTTGGCGCGCTGGACGCGCCCGGAGGCCACGCGGTCGGAGCAGGTCTCCGCACGGAAGGGGCGCGGGCTGCCTCGCGACGGGGAGCCAGGGAACCGCTCGACCGGGCCTGAACAGGCCGCCACAGCCACGGTGGCCGAGGCCCACGTCGTGCGGGACGCCCGGTCGGCTGAGGGCTGAGGGCTGCGGGCGGCAGGGGCCGAGCTGCTCTCCTGGCGGAGGCGAGTCGAGGCGCGCGGTGCCACGGAAGGGAGCGAAGGCTGCGGGGCCTCTTCGGACGGGGTTTCCGGCAGGGAGCGCGGGCCCGGGGGCACGCGTGGGATCTGGAGGGTTCCGAGAATGGGAACGCTCCAAACAAAGGGGCGCGACTAGACGCTTTCGCTTATTCTACAACTAGTACTCGAATCCTCGGAATACTGAGCCAGCCCTGTCCGACCCACCCATCGGGCCGGTGCCTTCAGCGGTTCTCTCTCTTCTTGAACTTTCTGGACTTTCTGGGTTCCGGCTGTCTTTATCTTTGTGGGAATCAACCTTTCTTACATCCTTCAAAAGACCCGGGTATCTAGACTATATAGATAGTCTATAGATAGTGTATAAAGCCCCTACACACTTGATGTGCCGTATTTGCATATATTGATTCTGCTTTGTAGTCGTATTTTTTTCCTGGTTATATTCTTTATTTTGGGCTGGAGGGATTGCACAGCGGTAGGGCATTTGGCCTGCGCACAGCCGGTCCGGCCGAGCCGGGTTCGATTCCTCCGCCCCTCTCGAAGAGCCGGCAAGCTCCCCGTGACGTAGTCAATATGCCAAACACAGTAAACAGCAAGTCTCACGGTGGAGAACGTTACTGGGCCCGCTCGAGCAAATCGATGAACAACGGGAGGACAGTGACAGCGATACTCTGTATTATGTATTTTCTCCCTTACACCTGCTATTTATTTCTCTCCCGACTCAGCGTAACAACATAAAATCTGTTGGGTACAGGAGACCCTTTCCTAATAATGCTTTTTACAACATTATTTTCTTCCCGTTAGAAGGTTCCTTATATTTACATCTAGTTTCTGGCCTTTATTTACCTCGTTAGTTACCTTTTCTTCTTTTTTTATTAGTTAGCTTTTCTTCAAGGACCACTTTGTAGTATATGTGAAAAAATCCTATTTGGTTTTACTGTGCCTTTTGCTTGATTTTTCCTCTCTTTCTTTTTTGCTTTTTGGGTCACACCTGTCCGTGCACAGGGGTTGTTCCTGGCTCTGCACTCAGGACTTACTCCTGGCGGTGCTCAGGGGACCATATAGGATGCTGGGAATGGAACAGGGGTCGGCCTCGTGCAAGGCAAACGCCATACCTGCTGTGCTATCACTCCAGCCCCATTAATTTTTCCTCTTGCAAAGACAATTCTCTTTGCCTTTTAGCTTTACTTTAGTTCAGCCATTTGATACTTAAAGAAGGTTTTTGTGGTTTGCCTTGGGGAGCTAATAACATTCAGCATGATCTCTGTGGCCATACTTGTTTAGCTAAAATTTTAAGTAATAAAATTTATATGGTTGGCATACAAACTCTTGGATTCTTTTGTGACTACAGCATTGGACCAGGCAATGAATTTAATTGCTGGAATTTCTATATTTACTATTAAGCCACATGGGGAATACATAAAGCAGGCAAGGTCATATTCTTTCTCCTATGAAGATAAAAAGAAGGTAAATGAAGAATAAAATAGGTGCATAGTATATATGTGCCATCTGACTTGGTTGGTTTTTAAACTTTCATAATTTTTTAGTTAAGAGGAACCTTTGGAGAATAAAACAAAACTGTGCTTTAAATATAAAGCTAATAGGTAAAAACATGAGATTAGAGGTACACTGAAATATGTATTATTTTTTATATAAAGGAGGATGTAGATAATTTCATGAAGCAACCTGGAAATGAGACTGCAGATGTCGTACTAAAGAAACTGGATGAACAATACCAGAAGTATAAGTTTATGGAACTCAATCTTGCCCAAAAGAAAAGGAGGTAGGTGTAGAAATTTTTGAAGTTTTTCTTTACTTGATCCTTTGTGGTGTGAACTTAAATAAACGGACATAATTTATATACAGTTCAATATCTAGCTGTTGAATATTCAATTTGATCAATTTTGCCTAATTACATTCGGTTCTGTAATTGTTGTGCAGACAAATATACAGATCATTCCTTTAACTGAGGAAATTCCTGCCTTCCCCTTTCCAGCAAACCCTGCCCTCTCTCAGAGCTATTAACTCTTATAAATTCAACCATAGTATAGTTCTGTCTGTTCTGTCTTTTTGGATATCATCTGTTTGGATATCATATAGTAACTACTACAATAACTACATAGTAGTTACTATGTCCAGTAGTAGCATATAGTAATTTAGAGCAGACCGAAGTGACAAATGATCGTTTGAGCATAAGATACCACTTATGCAAACTTACAAAAGCTTATTTTTTATGTAGGAGTACTGCTATTTATTCAGCCACTGATTAGCTGATTGAATTGGGCATGAACTCCACCTTACTTTTTTTTTCATAATTTTATTTATTTTTCTTCTTCACAATCACAGTCACGATCCTCCCATTGTTCATCGATTTGCTCGAGTGGGCCCAGTAACGTCTCCATCGTGAGACTTGTTGTTACTGTGTTTGGCATATCGAATATGTCACGGGGAGCTTGCCAGGCTCTGCCGTGCGGGCAAGATACTCTCGGCAGCTTGCCGGGCTCTCCGAGAGGGGCGGAGGAATCGAACTCGGGTCGGCCATGTTGGCCGCTTGTAAGGCAAACGCCCTACTGCTGTGCTATCGCTCCTTTATTTATTGTATCACTGTGGGAAAAGTTACCAAGCTTTCAGGTTTAAGTCTTGGTCATACAATGATCAAATACCTTTCCCTTCACCAGTACTCATTTTTCGCCACCAAGAACTCCAATATACCCTCCTCCCACCCCTCCCAATGCCTGTGAGGCAGATGATTTCCACTTAACTCTTCTCTACATTGATTACATTCATTATTTCGACAAAAGATGCACCATTATTGTTTAGAATTCCCCGCCTCCAACAATAAGAATTGCTGAAAAGGCATTGTGAAATACTTTGTTTTCTATTGCTGGTTATGAGAATCATATAATCTTGCATGGCCGCAATAGCGGCCTTTCGATTTTGGATTTCTGCAAAGAGCCAGATAATTACGAGGTTGGTTTCTGTGCTTCTGGTGTTATGGCTGTGCCAGAGAGCCGCTCGTGGGGGGCAACTCGTGACCTCGGTAGGGCGAGAAGGACAAGCCGGTACCGCCCCCCTTCCCATGAGACTGCAGTTGCCCCATCAATGCTGGCTCATACCTGGCTTTCCAAGAAGCTCTGAGGCAGCAGCCACCTTGTATGCGGTCCAGAGGCATTTCTGCAAAAAGCCGCTGGGTTTTGAGATTTGTTTCTGAGTCTCTTGAATCATGGCCGTTAATTAGCTTGATCAGGAGCCAGAGAGGCTGTTTGTAGGTGGCGACTCGGGGTCTCGCTGCGATGGGGAGGAAAGGGCTAGTTCTACTCCCATCTGGTGAGGCCCTGCATGTCTCATCCCTGCAGGCCAAAACCTGTACAGAAGCTTCTGGAGGATAGTGGTCACCAGGCCGCCAAGGGGAACAGGACAAGGCACGAAACTTATCCCCACCTGGATTGGCCCAGCGCCAGTAACCTACTGTAGGAACAGGACGCATTTCTGCCAAAAGCCTTTGGGTTCCAAGATTCGTTTCTGAGTCTCTGGGATCATGGCCATTAAGTAGTTTGGTCTGGAACCAGAGAGGCCATGCATCCAATTATATAGCTGAGCCAGAGGTGGTTTGTGGGTGTGTCTTCCATATACCTAACTTTTAGCCGTTTACTTTCTTGGTAAACTTTGCCCCAAGTTTTTGGGGTCTGACCAAAGGCACAGCAGCATTTTTGGGGTATCTGAAAGCATGACGGTGCCATCAGGCTGCTGATGCACTTGCCTCACAGATACAAATCGACCTGCTGGCGACATCATACCCCCACATAAGCTTATTTTTAAAGGTTTCTCATTTGATTTGGGAAATTTGAATATGGAATCTTAGATGAGATAGAACATAATTGACATGGATAATTGGAAAGCATTAGTGGAAACAGCTGGAGGAGATACAATAAGCGTGTGTTGGAAAGAGCATATGTACATAGAAATATCTAGAAAAATTTATGCTAATAACACCGTTAATAGTGCTAATCTCTGGGTGCTGGAAATGTGGCATTTCTCTTTGCTTGTCTAGATCCTTATTTTTTCCTCAATATGCTTGTACTTATTTTGTAATAAAAGTTTTTTGGTTTTTGTTTTGGGGCTACATCTGGCAGCGCTCAGGGATTACTTCTGGGTCTATGCTCAGATTTCATTCCTGGAGGGCATGGGGAATTATATGGGATACCAGGGATTGAACCCAGGTCAGCTGTGTGCAAGGCAAGTGTTCTGCCCACTGAACTATTGCTTGGCTCCTATTTTTATATTTATTTATTTATTTGCTTTTTGAGTCACACCTGGTGATGCACCGGGGTTACTCCTGGCTCTGCACTCAGGAATCACCTGGTGGTGCTCGGGGGACCATATGGGACGCGAAAATCGAACTGGGTCGGCCGTTTGCAAGGCAAATGTCCTACCTGCTGTGCTTTTGCTCCAGCCCCCTATTTTCATTTTTAAAAGAAGAATAAAGCCTGTGGGAAGTATTAATTGTAGAAGAAAATGCGCCTCAGTATCAAGCTCTGGTAGAGACGGTGGAATTTGTGTGTCAAAGTTATATTGTCAACTCTTGTACTGTGGTATAGTAGAATACCCTCCCAGGTTTACATATGCAGAACTGCCATGCATGTACAACCCACAGTAAACCACCACTAGAAGAGAAGGGAAATTAAAATGATAAATAAAAGATATATATTTTTTAAATGTTGAAACCAGGGAAATGGATGTCCTTTATCACATGAGAAAGTGTGTGTAGGTGAAGAGAATATGAAAGGGGCCAGGGATAAATTCAAAGAAACAGCTCAAGCCTTGTATATGAGAGATTCCATATTTGAACCTTGGCACTGCATTGCTCCCCAGCATCAGTGTCAGGGACCTTGGTGGTCCTTGAGCACTATGGTATATGGCCCTAGTGACTCCAGTACTGCTGATTTGACCAGCATTGCATTATCTGGTCCAGTTTCAAGACTTTTTGTCCTGCACAACTGGACACAGTACCTTTGGGAGTGGCCCCAGTTTCCCACAGGACTGCTGGGAGGCCCTGTCCCATTCTGCCTCCTGATCCCCCCTCCCCTCCCCCCCAAATACTAGTAAAGCTCTGGATATTAGAACAGAAGAAGTTTGAAATGGGATAATGGGCAAAAAGCTAAAGGGAAAGTTGCCAGTGATAATAGTTAGGGAAAACTAGGAGATTGTGAAGCTCTGAAATTCAATCTAAGAAAAGGCGTTCTTGGGACTGAAGATACAGTATAGTGGATAGGGTGCTAACCTTGCAGCCAGCCTGGGTTCAGTCCCCAGCACCCCATATGATTCTCCCATGCCCTCCAGGAGTGATCCCTGAATACAGAGCCAGGAGTAAGCCTTGAACAATTCTGGGTGTAGAACAAAATCAAGAACAAAAAAATAAGTAAAAGTTCAGTTTTTAGGAAAGGTATGGAGAAGAGACTCATTAATTATTGTCAAATGCTGCTGATGACTCAAGATGGAGAATGGATGTGGACTTAAATAAATGCAACTCATTGGAGTCAGCGTATATGGAAAACTTCTTTTAGTTGTTTTATTTATTTATTCCTTTTTGGGTCACACCCAGCCGATGCTCAGGGGTTACTCCTGGTTCTGCACTCAGGAATCACTCCTGGCGGTGTTTGGGGGACCATATGGGATGCTGGGAATTGAACCTGGGTCGGCTGTGTGCAAGGCAAACGCCCTACCCGCTGTGCTATTGCTCCAGCCCGTTTTATTTTTTGAACAGTTTTATTTAGGTATTGAAATTTGTAATATTTTTAGTCACACTTTTCATGCATACATCGTTCCAACAACACGTCTACTACCAGAGAGCCCACTTCCTTCACCAGTAACCCAAGAATTGCCCCCATCTAAGCTCAGAAGAATCTTCAGTTCTGATGACTTTGACAAGTTGTTGTTTTCTTACTGTGTTTCTTTGCCCCAACATATGGGAGAGATAGCTTTTTTGTGGAAGTGGTGACACCCTACATACATACAGATAAATTGAGCTAATCTCCTGAAATACCACAAAATTGTAAATTGAAAATTATTTTTTCAAGAAATACACCCTTTATGAGGTATATAAATTAAAGAATAATATTATGGGTAATACAGTGCTACTGCATCTTAGAGTTTCCATGAAATTGGTAAATCCTACATGTAAACTTTAATAAGGGTGAAAAGAATTAAGAAAATTCAAAGGGGAAAGTATGACTAAACTAATAAAAGTAGTGTGTTTTGCCTAAAACTTTAGTGTTTTTTTCCTAAAAAAGTGAATTTTGGCTGTATATTAGAAAATACTGTATTATTGATACTAAAGTGTCTGCATTAATAAGTAAAATATTATAACAAAAATCTGGACGTTTAAAGACCCTAGTCAGCAGAACATTCAGTATAAATGAGATCTAATTTCATTGTTGGAAATGCATAAAATCCCTTTGCAAGCTAGGAGTGAATCTACCTTTCTTAATCTAATAGAGGGCAATCATAAGTACTGTGAATTTGTTCCATACTCAATGCCACATGCTGGCAAGTTTGTCCTGTCCTCCAGGGACGCTCCTTTAACACTTAACATCTCTGCTTTCAGTATTATGCCCTCTGATTTTTATCATCCTAGGTACTGTATGTCTTGGAGTTTTCTTAGTTGAATCTGTTTCGCTGGGATTGTTTGGGCCTCTTGTATTTGGTTGCTTATATTCCTCAACTCTGACAAGTTCTTAACTATGATTTCTGTTTTAGTTCTTCATCAGATTTGCCTTCCTGGTC